CATCCACGTCAAAGGCTTTGAATACAAGTCACAGAGCGCTCGAGCGATGTCTTTTGAGGTTCAACCGACTCACGCAATACCGAGCCGGACTCCACAGCTCCGATATGCGCAGAATGTCTCGACTCCGCGATCCGGTGGAATACATGAAGAACGCAAAATTTCGGTGGGCTGGTCATATAATGAGAAGAGATGATGACAGATGGACAAGAAGAACAGTCGAGTGGGCTCCCATAGGATCTACACGATCTAAGGGTAGGCCTGCTGCGAGATGGGGGATGTGCTTGTCGATCACGTGAAACAGCTGCGACAGCAGCTGAATGACTCCTCACATCGCCATCTTCGTCGAATCCTGAATCTACCGTGGATGGCGATCGCGAAAGACAGAAGCGAATGGTTTGTTGCTGGTGCTCGCACATAAGTGAAGACGAGCTGTATAAGTATAAGTAAGTATATTCTTATCTGAAATCTGCTGTATGAACTTATCCAAAATAAGTTTCGTACAAGCTCCCACCTACTAAAAGCCATAGAAAATGCAGTGGTATACGTACTTAGGTGGGATGTCTTCTTCTTCATCGTTATCATCTTTGACAACAGGATTCAGCTCTTGTTCCATAAACTTCATATCCATTATTTTGTATTCAAAACCAGGTGCTGGATTTGGATCAACCTGCGGTACGAACGTTTTCGATATGCATCAACATGAGCAAGGAATTACCTCAAAAAGTTCCTGATTCTTTTTGAGGTACTCCACCAGCGTTTCACCGCTCAATTCCCGTGCCTCAAGCGGGATCTCCTGAGCACCTGTAAAGGAAAAGCACTTGTTAAGGGCTTTCGAGAAGATGAATGCCAAGGAAGTAGAGGCTAACCAAGTACATCTGTCTGAGGTGCAGCTGTCACATCTAGTATGTAGAAGCAAAGCACAAGCAGAATAAGCTTCTGGAGGTAAATATGAATATTCATCACTACTGGGTATGTATTCCAATAGATTCTAAAGTACCTAGATGAGGAGAATATCAAAAAAACTCACCATCATTTCGAAGGTGTTTGACTAGCCGATCACATAGTCTCTTATTTGTGACAACTGGGCACCTACATATACCAATAAAACAAATTATAGCCTTGATAAGAGGAGAATGAAAAAATTGAAAGAGCTATCACGGTAAGGAGTTCTTCTCAACGCAACTTTGTTGTAATTACACTTGATCGCGATCAGGAACTTAGTCTGTTCTCATTCCGTTCTTTGCAATGAGTGAAAGAACAATGCTAACTTCAACCTCCTGCCGTTTTTATATGTATTTGCATACCTTATGTTTGTTTTCACTAGTTTGACAGTCCAAAAGTTCAAATTAGGTTTTATGTCTTCGTGTGCACTCCTGATAAGATACAAGGAGAACGCCAGGAAGAAGAACCGCTGTACGTTCGTGCGCAGACGTCACAAGATGTCAATGTGGTTAACAGGGAGGCTTTTCTCCGTGTACACTGCGGATTCTAGTCTCAGAACCTTATCTACCATGTGCAATCCCGATGGGGATTTACGTAACAGACTCCGGTTATATTGATCGTCACATTGAGCGTTACCTATTTGAAGAACAATTAGTAGGTGGAAAAAAACTTACACTTTAAATTCATCAAGTATTGTACTTCTTATGTCATGGGTTCTTATGAACCATTCCAATCACTGAGACGCCCGGTGCCCTAATGTCTAATGGACTGTATCCCTGCACTGGATGACGTTCCTTGTGTTTCGACAGATAGGGCATTCGAAATCGAGTAAGGTATTCTGAACGGAAACGTAGCTCATCCAAACCCACTACATACTAGACACTTGGATTTCCTGACACATGATACACCTTTCGTTTTCTTTGTTTACTTAAATGAGTAGGAGTTTCGGCTTATATCGGTGCATAGTTGAGGGTCGTTTCTATCGCTGAGCTGCCCAAAGCTCGACATGTGTTCGCTGTTCTTACCAGAAATTCAGACTTCTGAATGTTGCACAATGGCTTGAACGTGATCAAAACAAGCCGATAACCCTCCTTCTTTTCCTCTCCGAACTTGGCTCCCTCGTGCCCCTGCTTCCACATAAATAGTCATTTCTTCATCAAAGTATTCATCCCTGAACAACTTTTATAGGTTCTACTGCGTTGAAGTTTATAGGCTTATGCAGAGCTCAAACATTCTCTTAAACGGCTGTAGATTCTCAATTACTAAGGCTTACCTTACTAGCACATTACAAGAATTAAGATAAATATAGTATGGCCATTACTACATTTCAGAGAGGCTGGCAAGCAGTTCGTTCCATATCAAGCGAAGCTACATAATGTGTTCGTAGGGAATTCCGAACGGGTCCTCCTAAAACGGTATGCTCTCAATGGACCAGCGATGGAAGAATCGGCTTCTTTAGGGCGACGGAATTTCCTTGAGAAGATTTCTAGGCGCAAATTTCGTCCTGCCTAGCTTATTTGCACGACATGGAAGACTCTTCAAAGTCATCTACATGTGAAGTGTAAGAGTAGTGTGGGGTTCCGATCTATTCTTGATTCCAGTAATTGTCCATAAACTATTGCCACGGGTAACGGAACTTCTCCCCGATTGCGGCATTCTCCCTTGCGGCATGCGGTAAATGTCACTGCAATTACTGTACTCACCCCACCTCTCGTCAATCGATATGACGCAATATTTTTCGTTGATTGCATTTCTTTTTTATTGGTTTTGATCGTTTTTTATCTTTCTTTTTCTTGTTTTTTATGTATATTAGACTTGTTTAATTAGAATGACTCCTCCTATATTAGCGACGATCAATACCGCATTGGAATTGAAGGGAGCGGCCAGCCAATTCAAATAATTAAAGGGCTCCCTACCTCNGGAGATGTTCCCGGACCCCTATTGCCACTATGGTGTGTTGCTGCTTCCAGTAACCGTGTTATTCGGAAGATTATTCAATAAAAAAAAGGTTTCATCTGCAGCCATTACTTGCATTATGCAGAGTCAGCTCCTGTCTACGGACTATTCCGACTCAGCAGTTTAAAGAAAAAACTCCAGCCGCATCTACATCTATAAAGAATCAGAATAGAGAGATCAGAGATCATCTATAAAGAACCACTAGATTACTCAACAAACGATTAATACCTCAGGGAATCAACTACATTTTCTGCAAACTTTCGGGGCTGGTTCAAATGTTCAGCCCTTCTTATGTTGGGATAAAGAATATATGTATAATTATTATGTGTTTGTGTGCATGTGATGTGAACGTGCATATAATAAAATTTTATCTTGTTGAAATCAAATTGTAACATTTTATAGACGCTCTACGTCGACAAGCCCTGCGTCTACGCTTGATTCAATCCCACAGTCGTCGATTCCACGAATCATACGGAAGAATCCTGTAAATTATTCTATCACTGAGGTCATTCTAGATCTCGTAGTTTCAAGAAGACACCTCTGACGAATATCTCAATACTATTGAAACACTGACGTATATAATACTTCCTAACGACTCACCTTTTTCTCCCCAGTCATCATGCCAAGAGTTGGCAATGATCCAATAATCCGTACCATTTTCTGTTCCCCATCCGATTATCTTTACTGCATGACGGCCTTTGGCCTTGCCAGCGGTATGCTGCAAGCAAAAACTACATTTTTATTTTCTATTTCCCAAAATGACCCGGATTTTAAGTGCATATCGACAAGTAGGAGCAGCCTCGTTGTCTACCAGCGGTGTACTGCAAGGACAATGCTAATGAACGGTTCTATTTCAGAAAGAGTTGGATTGCGAGCTCCAGATCATAGCCGATGTGCTGATTCTGCTTGATAGCTGTGCTTAGAGTTGGTGTTCTCACCTTATAGATTCCTGATTTGTAGCGTGAGAAATCGCTGTAAGTAGTGAACGTGGCGACAACTGATCCTCTCTCCATGATATCTCTCTGAATAGCCGGTACCCATCTCGGTAATTTGTAAGCAGAAAGAGGCTTTCCTAAAGATTATCGCTTAAAATCCGAAAAAGTCTGAGCAAGTGTAGAACATGAAACGGTACCAGACTAGATAACTATAACTATAAACCGTACGTAAAGAACTCCGAGTTGGTAACAGAATATAGCGACTGGAGAAGGGGTGCCTATAACTCGTACACGGTACTCACAGGAACCGTCTTCGGACATCACTATATGTCATTTTCTGAAGGTTTCGGTACTGTTTTTCAAGACCCTTATTTCGTTTGGTTGATGTATTTGTGAAATGCGTTGAGCTTGCCTTTACATCTCATCAAATGGCTAATTGGCCACATGAATATGGCACTTCTCAAATGACTATATACAGTAGTTTCACACTTACCAAACCGTTTGTCCATTCGGTATTGCCTCCTGTAACCAGGCTGGCATTTTCTCTGGCACATTGGAGTTGGTGCCCTAGCCACCTCGCAGTCTCCATAAAAAGTTTCATTCCCATGTTGTCCACAAGGATGAAGAGCATAAGGGTAGCATCCCTATTTTAGAGAGCTAACATTTTATGGTTGAGAATAAGACCGCAAGCTTACAACTACTGCACCTTACTGGCGTAGTTTCCTCCGGTGACCACACCTTCGTTTATGAAGAATTCAAAAGCTCTGATAGGCCATCCTCCACGGCATCTAAACTAGCCATCAATACTTGAAGAGAAACAAAGGTTCACAGCTCTTTTCAGGTTCCAAGATAGGTCAATCATTAAATTTTACCCATTGCCACATTTAGTACAGCAGGACATAATGTCAGAAGCAGATATTTCTATCTGAAATTCGGTCTATCATCCTCAAGCAGTGTAACAACACCAGAAATCGTGCTCAACCTGCTTTTTTCCTTTGGTAGCAATGCAAATGCGATCCGTAATTGCAGCTGCCGTCGATACAGCCCAGCATGAACCTGAATAAATGAGAAGTCAAAAAAAAAACAACGCACCTTGTCCAAGAATGAGGTACTAGAACTGATAAAGGGCTCAGTGCGACCCACAAAAAAGCGAAAAGGGGGGCGCTAGAATTGGTAAAGGGCTCAGTGCGACCCAGAAAAAAGCGAAAAGGGGGCGTCGTGATAATTGATCATGGCATCAACTCAGGAATGGAATGGTTTCATTCGTACAGCAATCCATTTTCGGTATAGTTTGCATTTACGCAGGAAAGTGCATGGAAAGTTTGAATCTATGAAGATCAGTCGGTATCACAGTCGTGATGGCAAGGGATTTGATAAACTTGTGCAAAATGAACTGCATAATCGATGGAATTAAACTGCCGCTTTCAGTGGGAAATCGGGAGAAGTACCTCCTCTCGTATTTTGTCACCATCCAACAGGGAGGGCTATAGCCATATTTTAGCCTGGAGGATCACTTGCTGCAGCTGTAGGGATTGGTGGTGGAGGGGTCCTCGGACTCCCACTCACACCAGCTCAACAAGTTTTCGAAATATATTGGCCTAGAATCCCAGCGAGCCCCTGTAGTTAGTTAGCGTACTTTATGGCTCTTACCGTAGCACCACACGATAGCAGCTCGAAAAGAAATGCACCTGGACAGTGCTCCCGGGAAGAGGACAGGATCTCTTCTAGGGGTGGACCGAAATTTACCTCCGGCCGTGGCATCTCTCCAGCAGGACCCTGTGTTCTTCCCTCATTTAGTTGACATAAGGTATCAAGTGTTCAGATGCAGTGAAAATCTCCCTTGTAAGTGTCCTCATGCGCGAAGATGACCAAGCAAATGCTGACAAGCATCACACCTTTGACTGAACTTAAACAGCGAAGGTAGGCCTGCTGACTGACGTATGGGATACTCCTGGCTATGGAGGTATGTACTTTTTGCTAGGTTCCGGATTCGCCTTCATAATATAGGAGAATTGCACCGCCGCTTTGTCGCTAGTCGGGCCTCCACATCAGCAGTACTCTCTTCAAATTGTAGCTTTTGTACCTTTGAGAAATTGCAGAATGGTAGAAGACATTGTTCTTAAATGCAACACCAAAACGGACCATTGCCTTCTCGAAGGACTGCGTTAGGAGTTCGCTACAGCAAGGAACTGGGGAGAGGGCAGAATTTTCCACTTGATCCGTTCCTGGTGTACTCAAAAGGGGCTCGCTATTGGCGTCTCCAATGAATCATTCGGGTGCACTCTAGTGTACCCACATGGACTGTCTTCGCAATCATATTTCGGAAGTGAGGAAATAACATGGGATTACGAAAGTGTCGCAGGACATATACACCAACCAAATATCTCCATCTAAACGGCCTGAGTACAGTTGTTTCATTTAGAACAGGCTAGTTAAATTTTCTTACCATGGGAATGCTATCAAAGATCAGATGAGCCTTCATTTTCAGAAAATGCCAATCCAATCGAAAAGGTAAGTTACCCAACATTTTTCCAGTACTACTATTTAAACTACAGAGCTGATTGAGATTATTTAATAACACTGAAAAGATTCCAGTAAACTCATGCACAAGCAGTCAAGAAGATCTCACCGCAGTTAGCTTGGTCGCGGATTGTGGAGAACGAAGAGCAGTTAGCCCAAGTAACACGAGGATCGTATCTGTAAATGGACCTCATATATCTCCAGTAAAAAAGTATACGGAGCAATTTCATCTTCGCCAAATTTTTCGGTAGTCACTGTAGTTGAGCAATTGAAAAATTGGGAGGTAAGGGTAGAACCGATCTCTCGTACTCTCCAACCTTGGGAACAAATCGCCGGGTCCGTTGTCCGGAGCCTGGCCCTTTCTTTTTCCTTTAAGAAATAATGCAATCGAAGGTTTCAGAATGCAATGAACATGCGATGTGCGAACCCTTCTACCCAATTTAAGTTCAGGCTCAGGGTTTTCTTTTCAAAAGTTTTAAGTGAGACGCAAAATCTCAAGTGTAATGCCTTCGAAAATCCTAGGCCAGTTGTATTCTTCCCAAAAAAATGCACGGCTGTATAACTAACTCCGCCGGGATTTCATCGCCAGGTTCGTCATTGCTGTTCACAACAGGATTCGATCCCTCATCATTGAATTCCATGCCCATTATTTTGTTTTCGAAACCAGGTGTCGGATCTGAATTGACCTGCAAACGGAACAAATATTTTGATGTTCTGTCTCAGTGGTTAATGATTNACCTCGAAAAGGTCCTGATTCTTTCTGAGGTATTCGACAAGGGGTTCACCCTCCAGCCTTTGCGCCTCCAGTGGAATCCCTTCGATAGCTGCGAGAGGAAAACTGTCAAATACGTTTTCACTACGAAATCAATGCTCAAAGACTAACCATCTTCGTCTGCTACAGATGTACGGCATAGATAGATGCAGAATACAAGAATTAGGCTCTTCTAGAAGGTACAACATTACAAAAAACTTTTTTTGGAAAATTTTTCGTAAAGATAACTCACCATTTTTTCGCGCAACTGTGACTGCGTCAGCATTTGCTTATATTCGTTAGAACTAAATGTCACAACGTGATTAGTTAATCAATCGCGATAAGAAGAATGCCAGAGAAAGCCACAAGAGAAGAATTTATCAATTAAAGAATTCTGCACCGCATTCTTCAGTCCAGATTGGTTGTTTGGGTTCTAGCCCGTTACTAGCGCCTCAATTCAAACTTTTACTAGTGATTCAGGCGATATTTATATCAGAACATTACTCATTGATTATAATTAAAATAAATGTTCCATGACAGAAAGCCGTCACTTGAAAAAAAAAACTCATACGTACGAAAAACATCCCAAAAAGCTCTTCCTCCAGAGGAACCGGCTCACCAAAGAATTCAAAGTGATTTAATTTTGGTAGACGATTTGAACGTGCTCGTAAAGTCAAACATTTTACGACTGCGCTCTTTGAAATTCAAAACAACACTTGCCATTATGCTCCGTTTATCTTTTTTCCCCCTTTCCATCGTTAAGGATGCTTCAATGCACTATTATCAACGAGTTAGGCTGAATCATGAAGGCTGGTACAAGATAGGGGTTGGTGTCTCTTAGGAACTTCAAAGCAAATTGATCTGTTGCATCGACGATATCTGAATTTATCACTACAAGGATATCTTAGAGACAGGAAAACATGTATTTTTTACTTTCAGTAGGATGAAGTACGTTCCTCATGATGATGACGGAAAAAAAACCCAAGAAACTATTCGTTCTAAAGGCTCATTCCGTCGTGGAGATAGGTCTGCAAAAGTTGAGTGTGTGCTGAAATTTTAAGTTATTCCAAGCGAACAAAAGTCAGAGTCTAGGTAGATCACCTCCCTTTAAAATTCCCAAGCAAGATATGATGATCCTTCTCATATATGAAAATTTTGCCTTCGAAAACTCTACCTACAGGATAGTTAAGAAGAATATTGTGAGCTTGCTTCCGAATTCGGGGACTTGCTCTGCTAACTTCCTATTCCATGTTACCGAAAGGAATTTTCCGTAGGTGAATCTTCCAAAGTGAAATCCACAAATATCGGTCCGAAAGCCCACCCAGGCTGCCAAACCTTACGTTCATCTAGGGTAGATAGGCTTTTAGCAGACTTATCTGGAAAGATAGGCGCACGAAGTGCGCCGGCTCGTTCTAAGGTATACTTGGTCGAATAGCTTTCCTGTTTGAATTGAAAGTCGAACTTGTTGGTATCCTCCAAAGCAGGAATGACAAAGGAAAGAAACTACACGGTTTCTCATAAAATGTGGGACAAACTGGTACAAGGGTATTATTTTTATGTTCGGTGGCAAGTACGGTGGTTAGGAGAAAGGAAAGAATTTGAGAAGATATAGATTATCACTTTTTAGTTTAGGAGTCACACATAGTTAACACCACCTATACTTCCTTTTTCAGTACCGACGTTGTCATGACGAACACACAAAAATTTGAGTCGCCCTACAAGCCTATGAACTTTTAGCAAGATTTTTCGAGAAACCATACGAAAGATTCACTGAAAAGAACTGATAAAGCTATCCAACATCCTACACCGTACAATTGTAGGTACTCCAGCGATCAGGCCACCAGGTGGCACTGCACTCTTTGAAATTCAATGTTTGCTCAAGAATGGATAGAGGATTACTCCAAAAAGAGAGATCTTAAAATTCCAGCCTGAAGAAGAAGTTTTTTCGCCGTGAGCTTAGCTTGTATTCCTGAAAGAAACCACCACTGAACTTAGGAAGAAATCAGGAAAATGTTTTTACAAAAGGTTTACGAACGAAAATTATGCTGCAGATCTGGCCCTCAATTCTTTGACTCGGGCACACATTTTTCATTTTACGGAATACCGGTGGTAGTTCGGCAGATTTCGCGCAAACAGCTATGATTTATTGATCTTCAATGACACCCACTGCATTTCCTTCTTCGCCAGAGCTCGCCTGCTCTGATTTTTTCATTGATTTTTTCCATGTTTTGTTGGTCTCTTTTTACTATCATTCTGTTTCTTTTACTGTATTGTTCGCATACCTTATCAGGCTCCTTCTCGTGTGGAAGATTTCCGGAAGCTAAAGAAATGCAGCGATTTTGCTAGAATTTTAGAATTTTTGAGCTTTCGAGTAAAGGTCTGTACTGTACAAGAACTTAGCTGTGATGGAAAATGTCTCTTGAACAAGAAGTGAGCGAAGAGGGCCTGGATGGCATTTAATAAATGGAAGGAATTGATGCTTACTTAGATACTTTAGTAGTCCATACGGTACCACAGCTCTTCCATCCACCCGATCTTCCGCGACATGCATCCAATTTAGGCCGGTTTCCCTGGAATATTTGGAAAACGAATAGGTCCACCGAGTCGGCAGTGCTAACGGTCACGTTTTGTTTCTCGGAAGGTGAAAATGGCGTCTTCAATTCAGAACGGCCCAACTTTTCAAGTGGGTCTTTCAAAAATGGTCTCTCCTTCTCCTTTAAGCGTTATGAGAAGTTTCTATGGATATAACGATTTTTTTGTGGTAAGTCCATGTTTCAGTCGCATAAAACATTGTTGGCAGTTCTGAGGGTTGAATATCGATTCCTTGAGATTGATTGTGAGATCACTGACCTGGTCTGTCATTTCAAGGATTGAACTGAAGGTGGTCCGTGCAGCACGTCTTCCCCGGTTTAGTTTCGGAGCAATACGTTCATCGTGTTCAGCTCTCTTCCTACCACATGCACCTAAGATTCAACTCTTTGTAGAGTTTTTCCTTCTAATTTTACTGATCCCGTATCGCAGTTCTTCTTCAGCACCAACTGCGTTTTGGACAATTTC